TAGTTAAAATTAATATTTAAGATTTTATTTTAAAAATAATGCTTTTAAAAAAATTTCAGGGCAAATTTGCAGGAGAACGGTTTAAGAGATAATATTAACGCATAATTATATGAACTTTCATACAATAGAATCTTATGCATATTATGCACAAAAATTATTTTATAATCCCTGCTTTTGTTACAAACAATTAGATTTATCCTCTTTTAAATTTCTTGAAATTTCTCCAAGGTCAAATAATTTATTAAAAGTTTTTATACCTATAACACAATTGATTCCACAAGATTCCAATTTGGATCTACAGGAGATCAAGTATGAAAATAACAATTTGCGTTAAAATCTGTTTAGTGTATTCTAAATAATTAATTTAATTTTTTAAATTTGCCATAGTTATGATAAATTTGTTGATATTAGAATGGTGCCTTTAGAAGATTTTACAAACAACAAAAGAATATCGGATAAACGAGAAAGAAAAACTACAAACTTTCTAAAACTTTTAATTTCTCCTAGTCAATATTCGCCTCTTAAAGAGGAGGATTATAGTCCCTTTATTAAGATCATAATAAAATGTGATCGTGATATTATATATGAAAACCCATCAATGGGAGCTGTCATGAATTGGATGTGGTATTGTTCTAAATCCTATTGGCCTAGAACCTTGGGTATTTTTGCCTTGTATTTTTTAACCTATTCAATTATTTCTTGGGCATATATTGCCCATATGCAAATAACTGGTGCACTCCAGTACATTCTGATAATTACAACAATTTCATTATTTTATTACTAATCATATTATCACCTAGTGATTGAATTTAAACAATTTTACGTAAAAGAAAGCAGTATTTAGACCTTTTTAATTTGGTAGATCTTCTATCACTTATTGTACCGATATTTATCTTTAGTTATATTTTGATTTATTATTATACATTTGAGAATGGATTTAAAGATGCTGAAAGTAGTCAAACCTTGACCTCTCTAAAGATCATCTAAATATTTCCGAAATTACAAATTACGTACAAAAGAGATACGTTAATATTTGGAAACGTTGCATATTGCACCAAAGTTTTTTGAAAGAAAAGATCTATTGTTCTACCTGTGTTTTGCCACTATCGCAAAAATGTAAGATTTCCAAAAAGTTAAAAAAAATTTTATACCTTTATAATTGTTAACAAATTGCTAATAATGTAATAATTTAGAATTAAATATTAGTAATTTGTTAGTCCTTTAAAATTGCTAATAATGTAATTATTTAGAACTAAATTATTTAATTACTAAGGCTACACAAATTTAATAATAAATCGATTTCATAATCCGGCCGGATCAAAATTTGCAAAATTTTTAAGTGCATAGTTTTAAGTGCATATTTATTATCTGAGTATGGCCTAATAAAATGCTAATAAAGTACTTTATTATCCTATTTATATGCAAATTATTACAAACTTTAAATTTTCAAATTTTTTTAAAGTATTTTTATCTTTTTCCTTTGTATAACGACTCAAATAAGGCGAAGATAATTTAAATCTAATAAAGAAGATTTTACTAATAACGTTGAAAAGTATTAAAATACCTGACGATGCTAAGGTAAATATCGGAATGGGATCAAGTAGGACGCTAGAATTAATGAATAATACCTAAAAAAAATATTATTAGCAAATTATATATATATATAATTTTATTTTAAACGTACCTGAATAACAAAATGCGGTATATCTGACAAAAATATATCAGCACATGCACCCCAAAAAATTATTGTCAACGATTTATTGTTAAACGGCGCATTGAACATCCTAAGTCCCGCCAAACGCGACTTTAACATTAACAATATATCAATATCTGCGCCGGATAATGATGCAACCGTGATAGCAACTCTTCCATGTCTAGCAAACCATTTGACATAATCCCGGCTCTGATCAGATAATAATACCCAAAATGCAATAAATAAATTGATTACCGTGGGAATCACTAAAAATGCTACACTATATTAAAAAATATAAATTTGATGATGGATGATAATCTGATATTATTTGTGTAATTTATAATCTTACCTCGGCACAAAAAGATATGGGATGGCTTTGGAATCAAGAATAACAAATGCTGTGAAGGTGCCAAATCTAAATAAGGAAAAACCAAGCTTGAGAATAATAAAGTTTTCGCTCTATATATTTTTGCGTTATGAGAAACATGAAGAAAAAAGTAGCAAAAATTAAATTATTTTAACTAAAGAAAAATTATTACCTCTTCATATTCATTGGCCTCTTTTTTGGCCTTAGCTTTAGCACGGTTAGCCCTATAAGAAATTATAGCACGTAATATCACGATATAACACGGAAACATATTAGTTCGGAAGTATATGGAACTATACTGAATATAACACGGGATAATGCATGAGAATATATGTTTGCAACATGTAAAAAGGCCTGAATTCCGTGCAACGCTGCACGTGATATCGTGCTTTTTTACGTGTTTTCCTGTGTATTGTCCTGTGTAGATCTATGTGCATATTCACATACATTAACGTGCACATTCACATATATTAACGTGCATATCTCTGTGAAATAACTCTGGCCTAAATTAAGCGTGAAATAACTCTGGCCTAAATTAAGCGTAAATAACTCTGGCCTAAATTAAGCGTAAATAACTCTAGCCTAAATTAAGCGTGAAATAACTGACCTAAATTAAGCTTGGTTTGGGCCATTATTAAAAACAATACACCTGGGCATTATTTTGCACGTATGTACATATAGGTATATATTTAAATATATTATATTAATATTTAAATAAAATATAATTATTATATTGGTAAATTCAAATGTATATTTATTTATTTATTATAATATACGTATGACTATTTTAAAAATTTGCATATTCTTATTGATTCTAGTATATCTATTGTTATTATCATATGATTTTAAAAAATTTTCCTATTTTTTTCTTGACTTCTAGTGCGCTTGCTTGGTCTATCATTATCATTATATTCTGATATATTTTTATTTCCAATGGCTCCTAATTTAGCAGCTAATTTCAAATAAATATATACATATAAATATAATTCAAAATAGTATAATTTATTCAATTTATATCAAATATCAACTCACCAACTATTTTATTTGCTTTGCGTTCTTTTAAAATAGAAAATTATTATTAATTTTAATTTGATTTTCTTTATCAGCAATCAAATTATTTGATGTAGACACTATTTTATATACAGATATGTAATAATATTAATATATTTAAAATGCTACAAATTTAAATTAAAAATTACTTTACCAATTTTTTTAGTTACTTGGTTCTTTTTAATAAAAAATTCATCATATGATGGTAATAAGTTTTCATTATTACTACTTGCAATCATATCATCTAACCTAGTATCTAATTATGTAAAATATATAATTTAAACTATAAGTATTATTCAAAGTTAACTAAAAAATAAAGTATCATTATTTAAAATATGTCTAATCTCTTCATAATATCCTTGATTGTCACTATTACTATTATTATCATCGGTATTAGTATTAATGATATTGACCTCATCTAATAAATAAATTTTATAAATATTATCACTTAAAACAATAAATGTTTTAAATTTAGTTTCAACTTATAAAATAAAAGTACTATACCATTATTTAAAATATGACTAGTATTTTCATAATTTTCTTGAGTATCACTATAATCATCCTCAATATCCATATTCATATTGACCTTGTCTAATAAATAGAATTCTATATAAATTATTATTTAAAATTAATAAAAATTAAAATTTATTTTTACTACTTATATTAATTTTTTGCTTATCAAATTTGTGTTGAGAACTTATTAACTTTTTTTTTTTTAATTGTAGTAAAATTTTGGGTGGTTTTTTTTTCTTTTTAGCTGATAAACCAGTATATTTATAATAATATGCTATAAATTTAAATAATTAGCCAAAATATATTAATTACTAGAATATAATAAATAAACCTATATTTACCATGATCTTGCATAACTTGTTTCATAATTTCTTCATATACCCATATATTGTCTTCAAAATATTCCTTATATTGAGAATGTAACTACAAAAAATATTATATGTATTTAGTATAAATATAATATATATTAATATAAATAAATATTTACAATTGCAAGCCATTTTTTATTATCACAGGATCGATTTTAGATATAGTATAATTTTTTGATATATTATAATTATCCAAAAATAATCCAAAAGTCTTTTTAACTTCACGAATAGTCTTGTTATTAAGTTTAAAAACTTTTGCAAGTGGAATTTTTGAAATAGAAAATTCTTCTATATTATCTTGTATAGGCCACAAAATCAAAGGTACAATATTACTATTAATCCATGAAAATTGCTCATTTAATTTTTCTTGTTCATTTAATTTTTCTTGTAATTCTATAATTTTGTTTTCTGCAATCTTATATCGTTCTTGAGACTTTTTTAATAAGTTAAGAAGTGTTAATACATCAAGTTGAGTAAATGGATCAACTTGAGTAGTAGTGTTTGAAAAAGTAAAAGAAGTAGTCATAGTAGCAATAATCTAAAATTTAATTCAAGATAAGCAAATAAACAAATTTTTTGGTTTTAAAAAAAACTAAATTCTTTATGCATTTATTTATTAAATAGCATAATTACAAATTGGTTGCAGATCTTTAATTGGCTCAAAAAAGTTGTTATCTGTAAATCATAATTTATTGGCCAAAATTGCAGATAATCAAATACTTTACATGTTTGGTTATAAATAGCATAATCAGAAATCTATCTAATTGGTTGCAGATCTTTCAAGTAAATTAATTGGCTAAAAAAAGTTGTTACCTTAAATCAAAATTTTATTGGCAAAAATTGCATATAATCAAATATTTTAGATATAAGTATATATAATTAAAGATAAATATATATAAGTATATAATTAAAAAAATATATATAATATAACATATAATCAAAAATAAAAAACTCTTTCTGCTCCTTTGCAGCTGTGAGAACCGAGCTTAAAATGGCAAGCGACCCTTCAGAAGAACTTCTATCCAAGTCATCATCAACATCATTAGACCCCTATAACTTGGAAATATGCTATAACAAATTTCTTGCTTATTACAAACTTCCTCTAC